GTGAGGGAGGGTTGCACCAGGGCTGACATCTAAATCCCGCTTTGCCAGCTTTGGCACAAAGGCGGGACCGAGGCTACTGGCAATGCTGGCGGGGAGTGGGATGATGCTCGCAGGCAGAAAACGTGGGCAGCTTTGGGGGATGAAGCTGGAGATGAGGGCATGGGCACGGCAGCACTGATGCCCTCAAGAGCCGAGAACAGCCTTTAGCTGTGCCAAGCAGCCACACGCGCACCATGAGCAGTGCTGGGTGCTACATCCCGCATCCCAGGGGCTCAAAACCGCCAGCAGCTCTTGAGGCACAGCAGGAAGGGAGATGTTGTGCCAGCCAAAACCCCTTCAAGCACCAGCAGTGCCCTGGGCACGGCTAGGCCCGGCTGTGGAGGGGAGGGTGGGAGCTGGCCGAGGGGATCCCTCACTCCTCCCATCCCCATTCCCCTCTAGCTCTCCCTCCAGCGCTCCAGCAGCTTCAAGGACTTTGCCAAGGCCAAAGTCAGCTCTCCTGTGCTGAGCGAGAACGAGTTCAACCTGGAGGAGAAGGTGAGTCCCTTGCCACGTTCCATTCCCACTGGGCACAGCCCTGCTCACAGCATCCTACCCCAAAATCCTGGTCCTGCCAGTGACCCGATGTTGTGCAGCAGCCCCAGGGCTTCCAGCACTGGCAGGATTTGGGGTTTTGCAGCCCTGTGTGATCCATCTGAGTTTCACCTGGGGCGGGGATGGGGGGCAAGGGCTCTGCCTTCACTCTCCATCCCTCTGTCAGATCCCCAGGGATGAGTCCAGCAGTGCCAGCCCCGATGATGCTGCACGGAGCAGCGGGATGAAGCTGAGCAAGAAGTGGCGAGCCGTCATCTCCCGCACCATGAACCGCAAGATGGGCAGGATGGCCGTGAAGGCACTGGCTGAGGGGAAGGTGAGCGGGGCCCTGGGCGGGAGTGCAGCTCCTCCTGCCTTGGCCTGAGCCTGGTGCCCCCCAGCAGGGAGACGTGGAGGAGGAGGAGGAGGGGCCCCTGTGCCCTCTGTCCCCAGCCGGCAGCACAGAGGAGCCAAGCCATGACAAGATGCTGGTGCGATACGTGGAGATGGAGGAGGATGAGCAGCCACCCCTCAGCAGTGAGCCTGGCTCTAGTGCAACACTGGCTGGGCACAGCCTTGGCCCCGTCCACTCCATGGGCAGCGATGGGTCCGGCCACAGGAGCCAGCAGCAGGGCAGCCCTGGCACAGCCTACACCGGCCCCTTCTGTGGCCGGGCCCGCGTCCACACTGACTTCACACCCAGCCCCTATGACAGGGACTCACTCAAGCTGCGGGTGAGCGGCCCCAGGGTGGGAGCTGGAGGGCAGGGGCAGGGACCCCCTTAGGGAGGATGCTCTCCAGCCTTCCGCGATCTGCGCCCACCCTCACACCCACTTCCCCCTGCACAGAAAGGGGACATCATCGGCATCATCGAGAAGCCACCTGTGGGCACCTGGACTGGGCTGCTCAACAACAGGGTGGGCTCCTTCAAGTTCATCTATGTGGACGTCATCCCCGAGGAGGCAGCTCCTGCCCGCAAGAGCCGGAGCCCCGGCCAGAGCAAGCGGCTCAAGCCCAAGACGCTACACGAGCTGCTGGAGCGCATCAACCTGCAGGTAAGGGACAGCAGCTGCAGGGCTGCAGCAGGATCATGCTCCCCTCTGCTTCCGAGAAGCCCTTCACTGTCCCCACATCCCCGCGGGTCCCTGACCCTGTGCCCAAGCACCACTGGGGCACACACAGAGGGATCCTCTGGCTGGTGCTCGGGCAAGTGCCGCAGTGGTCCTGTGCCAAGGCAGGAGTCGTGCGGGCAGCACCAAGGGCCAGAGAGAGCCGTGAGTCAGAGCGAGCTGGGAGCTGTGCCACACTCAGCCCGTGCTGCGCTCAGCCCATGCTGTGCTGCCACAGGAGCACATCTCCACCCTGCTGCTGAATGGGTACCAGACCCTGGAGGACTTCAAGGAGCTGCGGGAGACCCACCTCAATGAGCTGAACATCACAGACCCCCAGCACCGCGCCAAGCTGCTCACGGCTGCAGACCTCCTCCTGGATTACGACAGTAAGAGCCAGGGGAAGGGGCAGAAGCCACCCTGGTGCCAGGCAGCCCCAGCAGTACCAGCCCTGCCCTAACACTGTGTCCCATCTCCCCAGCAGCCAGTGAGCCAGAGGAAGGCAACAGGTCCGAGGCCCAGCCATCACCCTCTGAGCCCAAAGAGGACATTCCCCGGGACTCGGGCTGCTTCGAGGGATCCGAGACCCTGGATGGGAGCCGGGACGAGGCCGAGCTGGGTGGTCCCGAGGGGCAGCTGCAGGCTCTGTCCCTGGCAGAGTCCCCCTGAGCAATGGGACCCCAAGGCAGGGCTGCAGGCAGCTCAGCCCTTGGCCCCGAGGCTGCCCCATTTGCTGCCCCCAGGACATTCTGCCCTGCTCTGCTGCCCCGGCATGTTGCCCCACAGCTCCTGGAGCTGGATGAGCCTGCAGGAGCCTGCGAGGGCAGGGGAGTCCCACAGCAGCAACCCCAGCACTGAGCAGCCACATGTGAGGGCACGGGGGTCCCACTGAGCCCGGCTCTATGCTGGCAGCTCCACGCCCTCCCTCAGCAGGCTCCTCGCACAGCCAGGGCAGGGTTTGCTGGGAAGTCTGGGCTGCAGGGAGAGGTTCAGCAGAGCTGAAAGCAGCCCCGGAAGGGCACTGCACCCCCTTCATCGGTTCCAGGGGAGCCCTGATCACAGCTTGCAAACCCAGCCCTGCGAGCAGGCCCAGGGGAGATACAGGAGGGAGCTGGGGTGACCACGAGCACCCTGCTGTCATCAGCAGGACAGCCCCTTCCAGAGTGCCAGATCCCTCCAGGCAGCCCCGTGCAGGGGCACGGGAGCTGCAGCCCAGGCAGGGCCCCCATGCGCAGGCAGGAGCCGGTGAGGGCAGCAAGAGCAGGAAGAGGCTGGCATCCATACGGGAGCGTGGGGCAGCCTGCAGCCATCAGCAGGCTGTGCTCAGCTCAGGGGCCGATCCCAGGCCTCTCAGCCCAGCTCTTGCTGCTGCACATGAGAAACTCCAGCTCCAGCGCTTTATCCCAATAAAAGTTTGCAAGTCCCTTTTACTCCAGCCTTCAGCTTCGTAGCGCGCAGGAAGGCTGGGGCTGGGGAATGGGGCAGTGTCCACAGGTAACACAGAGCTGGACAGGGTGCTCCCTGGGCTGTGTCACTGCTCTGCCTGGGCAGCATCACCTGTGCACTGAGACCCCTCACCTGCCATGGGGGACAGCAGGATGCAAACAAGGTGACACGGATAAAACACCTTGGAAGTGCAAGATGTAGAGGCTGGAAAGCCAGAGGGAAGGGGGAAGCAGTGAGCTTGGGGAGGCACAAAGAGGCAGAGGCTGCAGCTTGGCCAGTTTTCAAACCAGTTAGTTTTTCTTCATTGTCTTAAAATAAAAAAAAGAAGAAACCAAACCAGAGCAAGCCCAGCCCTCACCCAGCCCCGTGCCCTTCCCTACTGGAGCAGGCACAACCCCACATGCAGGCAGTGCCAGCACCCAGCCTTTCAAACCCAACCCTGCACCTCTCCACAGCGAGCTCTGGGCTGGGGCAGTAGCATGGGAGAGGAGGGGGCAGCTCCCGTGGCTGGGGTGTGCAGGGGGCAGCAGCTGTGAGCGGGGACCCAGCAACGGGGAGCTGCTGAATGAAGGAGCTACTGAACCCACCACCAGAGTCCCTGGCAGCAGCTCTGCCCTCACCAGGGAGAGGAGGCCCTGGTGTGAAGGGAGAGCAGGCAGCACCAGTCACTCCATTCACACCACTTCATCCGCTGCCAGGCACGGCCAGCTCAGCACCGCGAGGGGTGGGAGTCATGCAGCATGCTCCGAGGGACCCGTCTCCCGCATCACCTGCTGCCACTGCTGAAAGCCGGTCAGAATATGAGGGCAGGGAAGGAGGAGCAGCAGCTTCATGCTGCCAGGCAGGAGCATCCCAGGGGCTCAGCACACGCCCACAGGAGGCACAGACATGCCCAGAGCTGCCAGGGCACCAACGGCACTCCCTCCATCACCATGGACCCCACAGCCCTGAGGCGCTTCCCAGCCCGGCTGCCCAGCGCAGAACAGGATTGTCGGGGGGAAGAGGAGCCCTGGCAGGGCACAGAGGCCCCCTGCTACTGCGCGGCCCAGGCCTCTGCTCCCTCCTGTGCCAAACACCAGTTGAGGATGGCTGAGGAACACAGGGCAAGGCAGTGGGGACACAGGGACACAACGACATGACACAGAATCAGGGCTGAGGTTCTGCAGAGCAGCAGCTACAGCCTGGCCTGCAAGAGGAGGGCACTCTGCACCCAGCAGCAATGGCAGCCCCGGCACCAGGCAGGGAGCCAGCAGCCAGGCAGAGCCTCCTCCAGCGGGAGTCACCAACCGCTCTGCGGCCAGACACACGCAGGAAGATGGGGCTGCCCCACTCATCCTGAGAGCTTCTGGTTGGGGGTGATCCCCAGGAAGGACAGGAAGGGGGCCCCTGCCCTCTACCACCGCTCTCACACCAGCTTAAGTCACATGGAAAGGAGCATGGGAAGGAAGCTACTTCAAAATCACTGCCAGCAGAACACCTTCCCCGTTACCTTGGCCCTTTTGGCACCAAACTGTCTCCTGACAACCCTTGTCACGTTAACCAACAAAACAATGCCACAGAATAGAGGAAGAAGGGAGGAGGGGAGAGAGGAAGCTACTGCCATGTCTTGCTTTCCCCTTCTCACCAGGATTCCTCAGCAGTAGGGAGCAGGCCGACCCTAACGTCACTTCCGAGCTGCTTGACCACGAGCCGTCTCGACCATGAGCCGTCTCGTCAGGTGGAGGGACAGCCAGTACTTAGCCTCAGGACAACCTGCAGAGCAAGAGGTCCTGCCCCGGCCTGCAGCTGCCTGGCCCCGTGGGGACTGAGACTCCCACTTTGGATCCTTTGCCACCGCGTGAGGCCAGAGCCACGAATAAAGACTACAGCAAAGCAGCCATGAGGAATTGTTTGCCTGGCATCCAGCCCATCTCCTCCTCTCCTCCATCACCTCCAGCTTTGATTAGACAAAACAAGAAAGTTCTCCCCTTCAAGCAGATGCTAGTGCTCTGCTTGCCCAGCGTCCGGGGGTGGGACTGGGAGCTCCCCAGAAGTTAGCTGCTTCTCCTCTGGCATCTCGGCATGGCTCAGGGGTGGTGCAGGGACCTGCAGAGAGAAGACAGCAGTGACTTGCATGAACACACCCCCATGCAGAGCATCTGTCTGAGCATACAGACACAGCCCCACTGCCTCTGCTCCACCAGGCAGAGGTCTCAGCTTTGCTTGGGGAAAGGAGAAACCGGGGGTCACCAAACAGGCAAAACAGCAGCTTCATGGAGTTCTGGGGCACTAGAACGCTCTATCAGAAGTGGTCCAGGCTGCTTCTACCAGAGAAACAGCAACTCATACCCAAGCAGGAGTAGGCTCAGTCATTTCCCATTGTGTTCATGGAACAGAGTGGAAAGGGCACTCTGGAGGTCTCCTGTCCAGCCCTACCCTTAAAGCAGGGCTAATGTCAAAGAGCAGGCTGCTCGGGGCCACAGCCTGTGGGGCCATGGCTTTCTCCAAGGATGGAGATCCCAGACCTGTCAGCGCCCTTCCCAGGGACAGCACTTCAGCTTCCACTCAGTGCCAAAACAAGATGGCTGCTGCCTCCCAGCCCTGCTCAATGCCTCCCAGCCTCCATAGGTGCCAGCTCCCGGATGCTCTCACTGCAGGACTGACGTCTCCAAAACCACAGCCAGTGATTTCCTTTGAGTAAATCAAGAGCAGCTGCTTTCCCGCACAGAGCACAACAGCTTTTCGTGGGCAGCCTCCCCACAATGCCCCAAGTGTTGCTTTGCTCCTGCCGAGTCATACCATCAGCTTCTCCCTTCTGGCCCACAGCAGCAGCAGCGACACACTCACCCTGCGCACAGAGGCCTCGCTCCCAGCACTGGCGTGAGGAAGACTCCCATCCTCCTGCGGCACCCTGCTCCCCTCCGTCTGTTCCTCGGTGCCCGGAGCAGCGCTGGGCCCCCGTGGGCATGACTCCACCTGTGCTGTGCTCTCCTCCTGCTGCAAGATGCCCCGTCTGTCCAGGACGCTGCAAGGACACAACCACCCCGTCAGACCCATGCCTGCCCTGGAGCAGACTTCTCCTGCAGGAAAAGTGCGGGTGGAAGACAAACACCAAGGGAAGGGACCCTCTCCAAAACAGGCTGTGCACAGACTAGGCTTGGGCTATGTTCCTCCCATGAAAACCAAGGCCCTGGAGAGCAGCCCAGCTCTGAGTGTGGGACTACCAAAATGAGTGACCTGGAAAGAGCCTCCGCTTCACATGCTGCCCCAGCGAAGGGCAGCCACTCCTCCACGGGCTTCCCGAGCACATGGTGGTTGGAAGCACATCACAAGCTTGAATCATGGAAAATATGCAAGGAAGGTAACACAAGACCTTCCTCCCCAGAGCATCCAGCCATGTCCCAGCAGATCTCCAGAAGCTCACAACACACATTGTACTGGCAGAAGAGCCAGGCCTTGTACCCAAGCAAAGAGAGCTCCTCACAGTCCCGCGCTGGGCTCTGGGGATAAAAATGGCAGGGCTGCCCTTTGAGAGCTTACCTGGGGGGCAGGGGCCCACAGAGCACCTCACAGCAGTTCTTCACTATGTTACCATGGCTGTAGGGATTCTGCACACGGTTCTTCCCAGTCCAGGACCCCTTGATCTGCAACAGTCAGGGCACAAGCTCGGGTTTGCTCCACCAGCACCAGCCCCCAGCCATGGAGCCTGGCCTCAGGTTGTGGGGCTCATCAGCAAAGTGGGCACAGGCATGACATGCTGAGGAAGTGACGAGAGACAGAGATGGCTCAGAGGAACAGATAGACTCTACTTACATCTTCATTGGTTGTCTGATTCAGTGCCACCAGGAAGGTGTGGAATCCAGTTAACCCCACCACCGACCACAGGGTGAAGAAACAGATGAGCACCTCCAGTACAGTGAGGACAGTTAAGGACTGGGAACAGCCTGGGAACAGTCCCAGCCCCAGGCCAGCTGTGTCACTACCCCCGATGCACACTACCCTAACTCTCCTTTTCTTCTCCTAGATATGGTTTTCTGTTTTACCCTCCTCCCAAGAGCCACAAAATTGCTCCTCACCTTGTACTCATGGGGAAAAACGCCCTGAAAGACTCCTTAGAGAAGCCTGAGCATTGAGGCCCCAGGCCCTCCATAACACAGGTCCCACTAACCCCAGCTCTGGGGGAACCAACCCTCCATGCTCTGGAAGGATATGTCCCTGGGGTTTCCTTCAACGTGTTCAGAAACCCAATCTTCAGAGATTCTGGCAACACAAAGACAGAGAGATGTTTTCTCAGGAACACCGCACCGAGTCCAGCTCCCTTTCCTACTCCACCACTTCAGGATTCCCACCCCCCCCCCACATCCCCCCTCCCTGAGCCACCCACCTCCCCGCAGCCAGACTTACTCAGTGCTACGTAGACTATGTTAAAGGTGAAGATGTAGATGGTGAGGAGTGAGAGCGAGAGGATGAAGAGGTAGAAGTAGCGGTAGTTCCTCTTCCCCACGCAGTTGCCCACCCAGGGGCAGTGATGGTCGAAGCGCTCTGTGAAAGCCAAGATGGGATCAGCAGGGCCCTGCCTGACCCCAGCCACACTGCCCCCAGCCACACTGTCCCAAACTTAAATACATCCGAGGCTAACAGGGCTCCCTGGGCGTAGAGTGCAGCCCTCTGCTAACTCAGGGCCTGTATTATGGCCTCCTTCCAGCCGGGGAAGCTAAGAAAGGGCAAAACCGTTTACTAATGAGTGGTTTTGCATATTATGGTTGAGTTTAAGAGCCTGGCCCTATGTATGTCTTCTCTCCCAGAGACCTGAGGTGTAACAGCTTTTACTAAAGCAGCACACAGGTTAGGTGAAGGCCTGGGGGTTCAGAAGTTCTTGTCTAACCCGTAAGCCACTTCTTCAAGAATAACTGGAAACGGGTTGAAGGAACTGCATAAACTCTCACAGGGCTGGGAACCTGCAGAGGAGGAAAGGGATGCAACAAGGGATTTCTTCCTCAAGAAGGGATGCTGAACACCAGCCAATCATGGTAGCAAAGGGCTGAGAGAGCATCCGCCCTGCAGCTAGAGGAACAAAGCCCAAGGGCACCCCATGTGACGGTGGAATCTCCATGCTGATGCGAGGAGCTGCCTTCACACAAGACAGAGCTCTGCTAGAACCCTCCAGGCCAGCAAGGCCAGAGAAACTCAGCAATGGACTGCACCTGCAAACTTCTGCGCAAATCTGGCTTACATTAGACCAGGTATTGCCAAAGCAGTACCGGCAAAGATGAACCATCTGGCTTCAGGCTCTGAAGCTCCTTGTGCCGCAGATGAGGCAGCCTGTCTCGCTCTGCTCACACTCCACCACCCTGGACCTGCTCAGCAGGAGCAGAGGTGGGTGCAGACGTTCACCTGTCTCCTCTGCAGGCTGTCCCTGTCCCCTCTCAGGCCTCTACTCACCCACACAGTTGTCGCAGATGCTGCAGTGCGAGGCCCGGGGCGGACGGAAGATCTTACACGTATAGCAGTACTTCAGCTTCACAATCTGGTTGTTGATCTGGAAGTTCTTGATGCGCGGGGGTGGGCGCTGGCCCTGTGGCACCGTCCCGTTGGTGGCCTCTGAGAGAGGATGCAGTAGAGATCAGACCTGCTGCCATGACACAACAGGCCAAGGACAACAGCTTGCCTCCTGCTGGAGCCTGCTGGGTCCGGAGCCAGTGGCTGCTGCTCTGCTCACACAGTCCAGAGCCAAAGTGGCAGCCTGGAGGCAGGAAAAGTGATGCCAAAGCCTTCACAGGCATATTTAGGGGGGCTGGAAGGGTGTTGCCCACATCCACCCAACCTCCTCTCTACCTAAAGGATCAAGGGGCCCACACTGAGCTCCTGCGCCCCTTCCCAAGCAAACTGAGCTCATGTGTAGGAGAGAAAACAGCAGTGAAGATATCCCCGGAGAGGGAAGTGGGTACATTGCACCATCCTTCTGAGCCTCAGCCAAGCAGACCCAGCCACAGGCACACCCCGCGCTTCCGGGCTGCCGGCCGGGAAGAAGGGCTCTGCAGAGAGCAGGGGCCCGGAGGCTGCCCCAGCCGCACTCACCGATCTCCATCTCGATGAAGGCTGCCTCGTCTGGCAGAGCCCTGGGGATCACGCCAGGGTCGCTGAAGCTGGTTCGCAGGAGCGTGGCCATGGCGAACAGGAAGAGAACGGCTGCAAACACGGGGATGGCCGGGGACAGCTGCACTGCCAGGTACCGGCACCTGCGGGGACACGCGGCGGCAGGAGCCGCACCATGACCAGCTCTGCCTGAGCCGGGCCTGGGGCTGGCACCGAGTTTGAGCCCAGACCTTCCCACGTGATGTTACCAAGGGGAAGCTGCCCAGCACTTCCTTCTGGTCCCACCACCACAGGGACCCGTCCCTGGAATGGCTCCAACAGCCAGCCACAATCTAAGTGCCACTGTGCCCTTAGTCAGCCAGGCCCAGAATTCTTCCCAGCATTTTGGTTTGTTCCCAGCTCCCAGTTTGCTCAATCATGGATGATGGCAGGAACACAACCGGCCAGCAAGAGGGATCTTGCCTGGAGGACACTAGCTGAGGGATGGACCCTTCCTTCCCCTAGGAGAAGCACCCAAGGCCTGGTTTGAGAGCCCACCGCTGGAGAAAGCAAAAGGCATGGAAGCACACTGGAATAGTAGGAATCTCTGGCTGTCCCCTACACGGGCACGGACTCCAGTACCACAGAGATTACTTGCTGGGGATTAACTGTGTCCTGTGCTTCCCAGGAACGGATTTCCCTGAAAGTGCAACATTCCCCTGCAACATGAGGTCTGCCTTCCTCTGACTTCCCTGAGGCAGAGCTCCACATAAAGTAGGCAGGCTCCCGCCCCAGGGCAGCCCCAGCTCAGGAGAGGACACACAGCCTAAGGGTTTACCAGCACAGAGAAGTCCTGTGAGGAGTTCCCAGTGCTAATCCCACTGATTGGCAGTGCAAACGGAGCAGGAGACCTGTCTCCCTGTGGCCCCTGTCCCTTCTGCACACTACAGGCACATGTCCTGGGCACTGTAGCATAGGCCGTGCTGAAGCCATGGTTTACAGGGATGAAAGGAAACACGTTTTTGCCCGTGTTCCTTCAGAAAACCCCATTTATGTGGGGGTGAAGTTCCTACAGAGCTTTCCTATGAAAAGCCCGCCCAAACCTCAGCACAGAGCACAACCTCCCCTCTCCCTGCACTGTGCTTTCCCAAGCTCCTCATGGAGCTCAGCACCTAGGCTTTCTAGTAAGCCCTGGCACCACAGGGGTGGATCCAACCCAGGTTCCTGGTCTCCAAGAAAGCAGGAGTAAGACTCCTGTGGTGAAAGGCCGGGGATTATCCCCCCGCAGCGGGTCTGTCATCCTGAGCAAGGCAATCCACAACATCCACAGCGTTAACTGCTGAGTTCTGCGTAGCCTTCCCACCCGCAGCTGCTCCAAACACAACACGTTTTCCAGCTCCCCTGGTTCCTTTGGAAGCCCACCACACGCTGCAGGGAGCCAACCAGGCTCTCGTTTACCATTCCCTGGCTGTAGGAACCATCCCCCAGCATGAGGAGGGGCAGAGGGGGCTGTGCACTAGAGCCACAGGATGCTCTGGCCACAGCCACATGCGGGGCCTGGCCCCTAAACCAGCAGGGTTAACTTCAGGCACCACAACCTCTGTAGCTACTGGCAGCAACACAATCCTCAGAGCTGTCCCTGTGCACAGTCCTGCCTTCAGGTGCGTGGGCAACAGGAGGCCTGAGCTCAGCGTCCTGAGGCAGCCTGAGATTACTTTGCTTTCCCTCTGCAAGAGCAAAGTCTAAGAAGAGCTGCAAGTCAGGCAGCGATTACACAGAAACCCTGGATCCCATCTGGGGAAGGAATCTGGGATTATTCCTCTGGACAGGCTCTGCCCCGAAGGGCTGCAGCCTGACCATTGTCCAGCTGACGCGAAAGCTTTTGTCGCTGTCGTCACAAAATGAACAACGTGTTACGGTCTTAAAACCTGGATCTATGAGCTGTGAGAGCTGCACCAGAGCTCCCAGCCCTGGCTGCACACCGACACCTTTTAAGTTCCCTGAGTGAACTGTCAGCAAGGAGATTTATTACCTGCAGCACGTGCTACACAGAGGCACTCGCGATAAATGGGATCAGCCCCTGCAGCAACCCCACTCAGCCTGGGTGTGAGCAGCAGTGTGGGATGTGAGTCACTCCCATTGACTGGAAACCTGCCCTTCGGGAATGCAGCAGGTCCTGCTGCCCCTGAGGAGCAGCAACAGCGGCCTCAGGATTGATGTTACCACATAGCAGAGAGTGAGGTGGCAGTGGGAAGCATTCAGATGACATGAGCGCACAACTGTGCTCCCTGCTGTGGCTCGGGAAGCACCAGCCAGCCAGGAGAGCAGGAATGTGATAGGGAAAAGATACCCCGAAACTCACACAGGAGGTAATGATGCCAGCTCCTTCAGCTGCCACTCACTGAAGAGCATGAGATGGTTGCTCAAGGAACCCACTCTTGTCCTGTTGCCATCCTCCCTCCAGCATCAAGCAAAAGTCCAGGCGCTGTGCTGGATGCTCAGCCCATCACTCAGCAGTGCCATGGCACCGCAGAGCTGAGCAGGGCCCTCCTGCTTCCCTGGCTAGTAGGGCTGGCAGCACTGCTGCATCCTCTGCACAGGAACACAGCCTGGAGGTGAGAGTGAGGCAAACACTCACCGCACCGACACTGCACCTTGAGCCCCAGCCTCCCATCCTTCCCTGTGCCATCAGAGCCTTGCTTTTAGGAAGGTGCTGTTCAGGGGACATGCGTGGTCTGTCTGCCATGGCAGAGAAAGCCAAGCGCTGTCCTGAACAGCTGAGCAACAGGTAAGGCCACCACGTGAGGTTGTCACTTGGCACTCACTGGTGCTGGGAGATCGTCACCCTGCGTCTCGTCTACAGCATGATTACACTCACCAATTCATTCCCAGTGCTGACAGCCATGTTAGAGATCCCTTGTTTGGGAAAGCTGAGGGCCAACACAGGCATACTGTTGCATGTAAGGCTCTTGCTGCTGTTCTACTCCCAGTGCAGTGTCTGTGCTCCTGAGCATTCTGTCATCTCCGAGCAGACAATAACAGCACTATCACACTGCCCATCACGGGGGCCTGGGGGTGAGAAAGGCTTAAACAGAGAGCATTAGAATGAGAGGGTGGAGCAGCAGCAGCAGCTGAGGGGTGCCACGAGTGCAAGGACTGTGTGACTGAGCTCTTTGCCATCACTCGGGAAGCTCTGTTGTAACTGGCCCATCAAGCAAAGCTCTAGAGGAAGGGGAAACAAACACAGCAGCCCCGGTGGACATGGACATCAGCCATGGCCGCAGGACAGCACATTTCAGGCCAGGTCCCCCCAGGGCTCAGCACAAGCTCTCCTGTATAATTCATCCACATCTCACTTGCAATCACCTGTTGGACTTCCTGAACCACCACACTGTGCACTCACCCCGAACACCAGTGAAGTACAGGAGTATCTGTAGCAAACGTTTGACCCTCACCAGAGCACTCGCAGTCATCTGCACCTCCCAGGCCTGGGATGATTTCCAGGAGCTGATGTATTTGCAGTAAGCCTGGAAACCATTGCTCCAAAAGCCAGGGAAGTGCTGCACTGCAATGCTGGAGCCCAGGGACCTGCCCCGGGCAGGACCGGAGTTGGCTACAGCAACACTCTTGGCTGGAACAGCAACACAGAAAACCCTCACCTCAGACCCTCTTCAAAGGCAGTTCCACCGGGAGTACGTGCCACCAACGCAGCAACCACCTTGAGGCAGGAGATGGAAAAGTTCTGCTAATGCCACTGCTCTTTTTCTGGCTGCAGGTGAGGGAACACCCCAAGATCACATCGGCAATGAGAGGTGGTGCTCCGGAGGACGTGCACACCACAGGGAGAGGTAAGTTGTCTCCTGGAAAGGAGCCCATGTATGAGAAACAGGGCATGCCATTCTAAACACACCTCAAGCAGAACCATGCCTTCAGGAGCAAGGCAAGCTGAACTCTGAGGTTCACCTCTACCAAGAGGCTACAACTGCCAAAAAGCACAGAGTGACTTAGGTGAAAGCTTTGACAGTGCTTGACATTGACCTAACCAGAGGTAAAAGCCATTTTGAAAGCATCTTTATCAGTGTAAAATCTGGGGTCTTTGGGGTTTGGAGGGAGAAACCCAAGAATTAAGTCACAAAGGGTCAGCACAGGTTATTTCAACTTGTCAGAAACCAAAGAAATTCTAATCTCTACGTAGCTAAGAAAGTAGAAAACAGTAACATGATACAGAGGCTGTTACTGGAGAGTGAAGAGCCCCTTCCCCTCCCTGCGGGAGCCCGGTGCTGCCAACACCGGAGCGTTTACCAGCAGCAGCGTCCTGCTGCCGAGCTGGAGACAAAAGAAACGCCGTTGTTCTGCAGCCGCCGCCGCGCTGAGCAAGAACTTCGGAAGGGCCCTTCCAGCCATGCTGGCAAACTGCAGAGAGGAGATCCCAGCAGCCAGAGAGGCTGCACATCCCATCATGCCAGCTCCCAAAGGGGCTTCACGAGCGCTTTACCTGGGCTTCTCCTCGTGCTCCAATACCACAAGCAGAGTTAGACAACTACACGCCCTGTTGCAAAGGCTGACGTGCCCATTAAGAGTCTGAAAGAGTGCCAAGAGGATATTAAACGAGTTTTATGTGACACGTTACGGATATGGAGCAGACCCAACGAAATACAGGGCTCGGACACTGCAGGGACCAGCCTCAGCCCTGGAGCAGGAGGAGCTGCTTTCTGCCAAGGTGCTGGCGAGAGGTGCCCTTGGGCAGAGGACTCCAGTCGCTGCAGAGCCCTTCCCGGGAGCCAGCACAGCTCCACAGCCCTCTGGTTTATCTGGGAGGGAGGGAGGGAGGAGCTGGAGCTCCAGGTACAACACTGATAGTGCAGGCAGCCCTCTGGGTCTTTTTGCTCCCGGCTGGAAACTTTCCCCATTCCAGCCCACAGCTCTGGAGTCTAGGGGATAAAAACACACAAACTCTGACCACGGGGCTGAGGTGGCTTCAGACCACTTGACTGGAGACACGGCAGAGGAACAGATGTGCAGGGGACTCAAAATACAAACACCATGAGCACGGCTCAGAGTGGCTGCCGCGGGCTCTGCTTATCTCGTGACGTGTGGTGCTGGCCACCACCGGCTCTCCTGCACCAGGCACCGCACTCTGCACCTGTCACCACACACTGCACCGCACACCAGAGCAGCCTGGAGGGCTCTGCTCTCAGCCAGAGGCACTTGCTGGCTTCAGGCATCCCCGGCCCTGTTCAGACAAGGTGTGACTGCGCAAATGATTCAGCTGAATGAAACGGGAGCCCACAGCACAGGCTCCCTGCAGTGAGCACACAGGACACCAGCAAGTCTGCTGCTCTCCACAGAGCCCAACAGCTCCGATTGCTCCTCTGCAGCACAGACTTTAAGGAGAAAAGCATGAAATTCCATGCAAACACCAAAGAACCTGCCAGAAGCTGAAATGAATGGACAACACAGACAGAAGGTCAAGGCCAAGCACTCCGATGCACGCAGAAGGGCAGCTGCTCATCACCTCAGCTGGGTCTGTGAAACAGAGCAGGGTTTCTGGCTGGCAATGTTATGTTTCATTCCTATCCCAAATTCAGAAATCCCAAACAGTTTCAAAACAAACACGCCTCTTTCAGACAGAAACCATTAAAGTGTTGAGCTATGAGAGAATCAAATAGATATTTTGGCATTTCCCAAACTTTTCCTAACTGAAAGCCCCTAAGCCAATTTAACCACAGTTCAGAGGGAATTCTGCTCCCAGCAAAACTGCCCCCAGGCTGGTGACCCCACAGAGACCGTCCCCCTGGCTCGACACAGAGGCATATTCCGGAGGTCTCACTGTGAGCAAGGACATGAGTGACCCCTCCATGGGCCTCGAGCAGCACGGGAAGAGGCTTCCCAAGGAATTCCCAGTCACGTACCTGCAGCACCCACAGCACCGCTGGCTCTGCCAGCACAGCCTGGGACTGTAAAGGCAGCAGAGAGTGGGCTGTGGCTTCTCTCTTCTGCTCAGGACAGGCTCCACAGGGAGCAAGAGCAATTATCCCTCATGGTAAGTGTTTCTGGAGCAGAGACACGTGTTTCTGGAGCAGTGATACTACTAGCCCTCCCTGAAGGCAGCAAGTTTAAGCCCCATTTTTGAGATGGGGAAAAAACAAACAACAAAACAAGCAGCAGTGTCATTTCATACCTTTGGCTTCAGACTGAGTCAGGGATAATTTGAGCTTCCTGTGCTTGAGAACCACAACACCTCGTGTTACAGTTGTGCAGCACCTGCCTCCATTACTCCACGACCACCAAGCAGAGAAATCAGCTCTGTAGCTGACCTGGGCATGGTGTTTGCTGCTGCATTGCTGCCACTGGGACACAGCAAACCTCAGCAGACTGTTACAGAAAGCTCTTTCCAAGGATGGTGGCAATATCCACTAAGGAGAGGAGTGAGGGAGAGCAATGCCAGGCCAGAGGGAGCTGGGACAAGATCCCTGCTCTGGGGAAGATGCCCAGGAGGCCAGTGCCTGGGCCCAGAGCTTTAGGTATGTGGAGCAATATCCAGGACTTAATCAGTGGAAGCAGTTTCTTCCGCTTGCTTGTCCTGGCTTAACTGGCTTTTGTGTTACCCAACACCAATCAAGACCTTTGCCTCCCTAAGAACAACATACACATGCTGATGGAGACAGAGAAAGGAACATTTCACAGTTGTGTGGCTGATCCAAGCTCACCCTCAACCCAGGCAAACAGAGCAGTCCTGCTGCCTGCCTCCCCCCCCCCCCCCCCCGAGCTCAGGCAAATGTGAGTGAGCTTTTCTTCCCTTTCTGCTTGCTGTTTTGGCAGGATTAGTCTGAGGCTGGGTCACTCCCAGCTGGGCTCACAGGGCTATGGCGCCAGTCCCTACTCTTTGGCAGGACACACAACTTGCTGCAGGTCTTTAGGCTGCTGTGCTGATTGAAGAGGGTGGCCGAATCCCCTCTAGGGCTTTGGCTCACGGAGGGTCTGCTGTCGTGCAGCACCACAACACAATACAGACAGCTGAAGGGTGAGCTGGATCTGTGCTAGGGACCAGTGCCACCAAGCACATCCATTTTTGGTTAGCTCTCCAGCCAGGTCACTTCCCTCACTGGGCTTAGCAGGGCTGTACACAGGCCCAGGGTGCACGGGAGCAGGCTCTGCCCCACCACCAGCTCATGCTGGCCTCTGGTGCTGCAGCAGCAGTGCCCTTGCACCCCAGGCAAGGAGCACGCACCCCAATCCCCATCCCCATTGGCAGTGCTCCGGACACGGGATGACAAGTCCCAAAGCACAGGGAAGCACAAGCAAGTCGGTGAAGGGCCAGTGTCGTTTTGCAGGGCGAGCTCTGCCAGGGCCCAGCGTCCCCAGACCTCCAGGTCGTTGTGAGAGGCAGATCCCGCCAGGGAGAGCCGCACCGCGCCGGGCTCCGTGCCGCCTTCGCTCTACCCCCACCCCCCGCTCCCGAGGCCACCGGCGGCCACCGACCCCCTCCTGACCCGGGGAGCCACCGGGCGGCTGCGGGGAACTCACTCAAAGGCGAAGAAGAGGGCGCAGGTGCCGAGAATGAGAAAGAGCGTCAGGTAGAAGATGCCCTTCTGCCGGGCCATCATGATGCGGCCGTCGCAGCAGAAGGTGTTCCTGCCCGGCAGCTTCTCCCATTTCCGAACCACCTTCTTCCTCGCCACCATCACCGACATGGCGGGGCCGTCACTAGGGCGGCGGCGGCCGCCACAACTCCGGGTCCGGGCGCTGCTGCTCCGCCGCCCGCGCCCCCGGCATCATCGGGGGCCCCGCGGGGCTGCGCTGGGCGCTGTGGGGAGAGGAAAGCGCCTCAGCACCGGGGCGGCAGCGGGGCTCCGCGGCGGGGGGCGGCGGCCGTCGCTATGGAAACCCCCGAGCCCCGGGAGGTGCGTCGCCATGGAAACCCACCGGGAAGGGAGCGGGCAGGGCGCGGCCGCGGAAGGCCTCGGCCCCGAGAGAAGCGCCCGGTAAGGGGGAGCGGCGGAGCGGCCCCGCACCGGCCCCACCGGGAGGGGAGGGGACGGGGCTGGGCTGGGCTGGGCTGGGCTGGGCTGGGCTGGGCTGGGCAAGTGGCGCCCACCCCGCGGCGGCCCCGGAGTCCGGGCTTGTGGAAGGAAGGAAGGAAGGGAGGGAGGGAGGGAGGGAGGGGAAGAGAGGGCCCCGCCGCCGCTCACCCTGTGCCGGGGCTGGCAGCGCCGCGCGGGCCGGGCCGGGCCGGGCCGTTCGCTCCCTCAGCGCGGCGGGAGGGGCCGCCACGCCTCGCGCCTCTGCGGGGGCGGGGCCGCACCGCCCATTGGTCTGTCAGCTCCATCCGTCCCGCCCCTTCACTCCCATTGGCTGTACCACACGTCACTCTGCAGTCTCGTCCCTCCGCCCCGCCCCGGTGCGGACAAGGGGAGGCGGGACCGGGGGCGGGGCTCGGCACGTGGCCGGGGGCGGGGCCTGCGGCAGCGGGTGCGGCGGGGCGGTACAGGCGGGGCGGGCGTGTCATGTCGTGTCATGTCGTGTCATGTCGTGTCGTGTCGTGTCGTGTCGTGTCGTGTCGTGTCGTGTCGTGTCGTGGCCCGTCCCCTCCGCATGTCGCTGCCGCGGTCCCGTTTTTCCGCTGTGCTGCCTGGGGGTTTGCCGGTGAGGGCAGGGAGCGGAGCGCCGAATGGGGGCATGGTCCTCCTGCGGCCGTTGCCATGAGGACAGGAGCAGCCCGTCTCCGTGCGGAGCCCGGGTCCGACCCGCACCCCGAGAGCCGCGGAGCCGGCCCGTCCCCCCCACCCTCGGCCCCGCTGCCACGGCAACCGTGACGTCAGAGCCTATCCGGCGGGCGGAAGCGTGGCGGGTTGCGGCAGGCCGGGCGGAAGCGGTGCGCTTTCCGGCAGGTCGTGCGGGGAGTGGTACTACGCGGCGCGGTGCTTTACGGCTGGCGTGGCGTGCGGTGCTGTGCGGTACGGTGCGATGTCGGAGGAGTGGCTGGGGGTGGAGGCGGCCGCGAGCGAGAACGAAGATGAGGATGAGGTGAGGGGAAGGGAAGGAGAGGCCCGGGTGAGGCGAGGCCTCGGGGATGGGTATCCCCGCTGCGGCAGAGGGTGGCCCGGCCCGGTCCGGCCCGGCCCGGCCGGAAGGGCGCAGGCTGGGGCTCGGGGCTCGGCCGGGATATGGCGGGGCACCAGGGAGCGGGCGCCGCTCCCGGCAACGCCTGCTGGGTCTCTGGGGTGAGCTGGGCCGGGATCTGTAACTGTGTCTGCCTCGTGGCAGCGGCGGGAGGACGGCGAGCGGCGGCACCGGCAGCTCCTGGAGGCGGTCAGCTCCCTGTCCGGACGGAAACGGTGAGTGATGGGGTCCGGGGCGCTGCTGTAGCTTGGCCCTGGGGCTCTGGCAGTAGCCGCGTTTCCTCGCTGTGGCCCCTGCGGGGCTGAGCAGGGAAGCTCTGGAGTAGCAGCTCAGCTCCTGTGGGAGGGAGAAGCACTCGGGGGGATGTGCCTTTGGTTGATTTGTTCTCCCGTGTCACAGGCGGAGGCTGGCAGAGCGCACGGAGGCCAGTGTGCAGGTGTCCGAGTTTAATGTCAGTACCAAAGGTGAGACCCGTGGGGGCTGAGGTTGGCTGCAGCCACCCTGGGGCTTTCTGGCTGAATGCAGCTGCAGCCTCTCGGGTCAGCAGCGCTGTACCTGAGCTGACATGTGGGACCTCATGCAGGGGCTGGGGAGAAGCTGGTTCTGTCGGAGCTCCTGCAGCCCATCCGCCCCAAATCCGCCCTGAGCAGCGTGAAGAATGAGCTGACCCGAGTGAAGCAGAAGGCAGCGGTGGAGCTGCCGCTCAGCAAGGAGGAGGCCAAGCGGGTGAGTGGGCCTTTGAGTGCCTTCTGCTACTCTCTGATGCCAACAGGCTCTTGTTCTTTGCCTCAGGCCTCCTTTGCTCACCTGCTTCCCTTCCCACCCACCTGCAGGTCGTGAGGGAAGCTGCCTACCTCACAACTTCCAAAGATGTGGGCAAGTGGCAGCAGATTGTGCTGCAGAACCGGCGCGCCGAGCAGCTGGTGTTCCCGCTCAAGCAGGACATTGCTGCAGTTGTGCCCCTGGAGCAGGCAACTTCAGCATGGAAGGTGGGTGCTGCCTTGTGTCATACAGCTCCTGGTTGTGTGAGGAGGAGTGAGGCAGGCATGGGGAAGGCCCAGCCTGTCGCTGAGGCTCTGGGCAGGCACGGGCTGAGCTGGGGAAGATTCACATGGAAGTACTCCACCTTCCTCATGCACAGCCGAGCCTCTGGGAGGGGCTGGCTAAGGCACAGACAAAAGGTTTTGAGCGTGCTCTGTACCTTTCTTCTTAGCCTTTCAGCTTGAGTCACGCTTGCTGAGTGTGCAGGTTTTTGGTCCCTGTGGTGAGCCATGTGCCTGCTTGTAGCCCTTGGCCTCATGTGCTGAGGTAGACGGGGTCCAGTTTGGCAAACCCTGGACCTCCTTATTGTAAATCTTGTAAAATTACAAAACAATGATGTTTTTGATTTTGAACATGAATTCCCAAGAGGGTTGTGCTGCTGGCAGGTGAGTCACTGCCTTCCCCGAGAGCTCTCCCAGCTGTACAGATGCTGTGGTGAGAGGCAGCCGCTGCTGAGCTCCCAGCCAGCTCACCTCAACCTGCCCAAAGGTCCCTTTCTGTTTTGGCAGGACATGATGTTGTGTGGCCAGGGAAACTGCTCTGTGCTTCATGCCCAGAGCTACCTGGCCAATGCTGCCTGCCTGTTGTGAGCCTCCTCCTCTCCCTGCGAGGAATTCTGCCCTCCCCGGAGCAAGCCAGGGGCTGCTGCCTATGACCCTAGCCAGGGCCGTGACCTCAGTCCCAGGAGGAGGGGCCACACTTCTCTGGGCCCTCCTATTTACCTGCTCAGGGGCACCAGGACAGGGACATCTAGAGGAGCATTGCCTCTCGTGATTCTTCTCATCACCAGCATCGTGCTGGGTCTGCTCTGTTCCAACAGGCCCGAACTCCCCTGGAGCACGAGATCTTTGGGCTGCTCCACAAGACGAAGCAGCCCATCACGGATCCGCTCCTGACGCCAGAGGAGGCAGCCTCGCTGCAGGCAATGAGCTTGGAGGAGGTGGGTGCCTCCCATCCATGCCCTGGCTCTTGAGGCCTCTTCCTTGGTGCCCGCCCTCACTCTGCTCTCTGGCAGGCCCGGCAGCGGCGGGCAGAGCTGCAGAAGGCTCGGGTTGTGCAGTCCTACTACGAAGCCAAGGCTCGTCGAGAGAAGAAGATCAAGAGCAAGAAGTAAGATCCCTTGGAGAGGGCTGAGTCTGCCTGGTGCGGGGGTATGGCCAAAACACGGGGTCCCCAGGGCCTCCCTGGCACCCGAGGCCTCACTGCCTCTGTGCTCAGGTACCATCGCATGCTGAAGAAAAGCAAGAGGCGCAAGGCCTTAAAGGAGTTTGAGCTGCTGCAGAAGTCAGACCCGGAGGCTGCCTTGGCAAAGCTGGAGGAGCTGGAGCAGCTCAGGATGCAGGTGCTAATTTTGTGCTTGTCCCCCACCGTGTGGGACATCCCCGCTCATGAGGGTGCTTGTTCTGATGCTTCTCTCGTTTGTCCCCCCAGGAGCGAATGAGCCTTAAGCACCAGAACAAGGGGAAGTGGGCCCGCTCCAGGGCCATTATAGCCAAGTATGACCTAGAGGTGAGATCGCAGAACCACAGACGAGTTTGTTTAGAAGGAACCTTAAAGATCATCCAGTTCCAACCCCCTGCCAGACACCTTCCACTAGAGCAGGTTGTTTCGAGCCCTGTCCAACCTGGCCTTGAACACTGCCAGTGATGGGGCAGCCACAGCTTCTCTGGGCACCCTGTGCCAGTGCCTCACCACCCTCATCATGCAACTTGTTTCTACTTTCTTCTTTGTATCTAACCAAAATCTGGCCTCTTCTAGTTTAAAGAGTTGCCCCTTGTCCTGTCCCTATAGACCTTGGTATAAAGTCTCTCTCTTCCTTATAAACCACCATTATACACTGAAAGGCCGCAGCAACGTTTCCAGTGCTGGTTTAGGGAAGGGGGAGGCAGCTGAGGTGGGGCGGGTGCGTTGTTTCTGCCCTGCCTCAGAAACCTCTCAATCCCCCTCCCAGGCTCGCAAGGCCATGCAGGAGCAGCTGGCCGAGAACAAGGAGCTGATGCAGAAGGTGCGTGTGGAGCTGCCTGAGGAGAAGCCAGATGACGTGCCTGAGGAGGACCTCACATTGGTGACCATTCCCACCATCCCCACGGGTGCCAGCAGAGCAAATCCCTGGCTGTTGGGCAAACCCAGCAGCCCAGCCAAGGAGCCAGAGACACAGGAGGGTCAGGGAGACGTATTAGAGCCTGGTGCTGCAGAGATCAAGGAGGAGATGGAGGAGGATGAAGAGGAGATGTCAGAGGAGGAAGCTCTGCTACAGGACTTCGCACAGAAGCGGCATGTGCGGCAGCAGCAGGCAGGGAGCCCTGCAGGACAAGGTGAGGAGCTTGCAGCCCCAGGCAGGGAGGGACTGGTGTGCTGCTTCAGGGCTGGGCAAGGGAAAGAGGGGTGCCAGGGCTGTTTTCTGCCTGGCTTCACTCTTTCCTCCTCATGGGTGACTGTTTCTCACCTGTTGCCTCAATGTGCAGATTCTGATGTGACAGAGGCAGTTTCTGAACCTCCGGGGGACATCCCCATCCCCCTCATCTGCAGAGAGGCAGAGGTGAGTGCAGGGATTGAGCTGCCCACTGATGCCCAGGAGGAAGTTCTGCTCTTGCAGCAGCTGGGCCGAGCACGAACAATGGAGGATGTTGAGGCTCTGGCCTCAGAAGAGCGTGTGGAGGAGCCGGTGGCTGGAGGAGGAGAGATGGGAGTGGAGGAGCTGGAGGAGCCGGCGGCTGGAGGAGGAGAGATGGGAGTGCAGCAGCCGGTGGTCGCAGGAGCAAAGGCGAGAGCATGGCAGCAAGCGACTGCAAGAGCAAGGACAGGAGCACAGCAGCTGGTGGCAGCAGCAGCAGAGGCAAGAGAGCAGCAGCAAGCGGTCGCAGGAGCGGGAGCACAGCAGCCAGCAGCCGCAGGAGCAGAGATGGGAGCACAGCGGCAGCCAGAGGAGGGCAGAGCTGGGGCCAGGCCTGCCAGGAAGCCAGCATCCCAGAAGCAGCTGATCAGCCTGCAGGCAGTGCTGGAGGGGCGGGCGCAGGAGGCTCGGTGCCCTAGCCTGCCGGTGCTGCTGGAGGAGGAGGTGAGCAGGACACACCAGCCCCTTGTCCCGCAGCCAGGCTGGCTGCAGGGGCTGACCCTGCTCTCCACAGGAGGGAGG